GTGGGTGCAAAGTGCATACAAAAGGACGGTATGACGTCGGTCCGTTCATCCAGAAATACATGCGCCTTTTTTCTCTTCGAAGACGAGAACGATATCATCTGCGTATTCCAGATCGACAAGGTTTTCGTCTCAGGCGATTTGAACACCAGGGTTTTGAGGGCTTTCCAGCATTCCACTCATTATCTCATCTATCACGAAATTGAGTAGCAATGGAGAAAGTGGGCAACCCCGACGGACACCGCTTTGCGTACGGAAGCTTTTGGAAAGTTCTTCCAATGGTCTCACACATCCAAAAGCCTGAGAATACAAAGAGCTTATTCTTTTCACGAAATTCAGGAGCATTTTTGATGAGTAAATGTGTCAGGAAAACAGGCCAGTCGATCAAGTCTGTGGCGTTTTGTACGTTTATTTTACTTCCATTATAACACTACGTATTTCATCAATTGCATAATCGTTTTTTATTTGAATGCGAAAAACTACAAAAACGCGCACTGGTAAAATTTCACAGAATACAAACGTGATCACGTGCTTCGGCTCAGTCTTCTCATTTCGCTCGCGCTTGTAGCGGTCATTCGCGAGTCTCATATACCAACTCTGGTGCCAAAACATTTCAGACATCTTCGGAATCTATTATATGTGGGGACTGTTCAGAAGAAGACCTCTGGACCAACACAATTGGATTATTGTTTACTCGCTGACCTGGGCCAACGACGAACTATTTTAAAGAGAACAATTGTTAGTGAGTCCGTTCTGTCTGATTTCTTTATTTTTGAATACCCAACCTAGCGTAATCATTTTTGTTTCTTTGCCACACACTCCTGGTAAACTAACTTATTGGGTAGCCAGACCACTACAAGCCACAACTTTGAGCAGTTTTTATCCGGCCTGGTCTCTGGGATGGGCTCTTCCGTACCCAATGAATTTTCGCTCAGATTTGCCTAGCCTGGTTTTCCTGCTGCAATTTCGACTTGCCTGTTGCACAAGTTCAAATCCGTATACGGAGTTCAGTTCGCCCCATGTATTAGCAACTTGCCCCCATCCAAACTTTTCCCCTGCGCCCGATATCCCTACAACAGTGCAACCAGTGAGTCCGCTTGCTTTCAGATTAAACCAAAATTTTGAGACAAAACTTGTCATGTGTTCCAAATTTGAATTATCCCATCTCCATCTCCACTTTTGCTCGTTGTGACTCCGGCAATTTACCTAACCACCCAAAGTCACTCACGGCCAGCAATGGTTTCCAGTTTTAGTTCATGCCACCTGACTGTCTTTGATCTAGTCGAACATCATGACCATTTTTACCAACAAGAAGGGAAATAACCTAATATTGCTATATCATCGGGTGATCCCCACTGTTTGTGACATTGTCCTCTTTTTGTGCAATCCCCAACCCCACAAATCCCTCAGTCATGCTCCAGTCTAACCGTAAAACTATGATCATGCCAGACAGTATGCCACCCACAAGTTGGGAATAAACATTATTATTATTATTATTTCTGACAAGATGAATTATTCAATTTGGCTTACGGGAACCTGTTCTTCGAGCACTGAATTCAGTGTGTGCGAAAGGAATACTGACCCCTGCCAACTCATCGAATAGTGCAAATCCGATAGTCAACTCACTGAAGGCTGATAGTATTACTCCGAGAATTTGTATAAACTACCGACTAACGCTAAATACGGGGTAAGTGCAACGTACATGCACAACGAATAGTTCGAAGATGTATTGTATCGTTTACCACGTCCAAGTATGTATTCCAAAACCGATCTAAAAGATGCCCATCTTCAAATTTCACTGGACGAAGCCTCTGGTGATCTTACCATGATCAAAGCACCGTTTGGGATATTCCAACACAATTTCCTTCCCTTTGGTCTGAACGTTCCACCAGCTGTATTTCAACAAGTTATGGACACTATTGCAAGAGATTTGGAGATTGTTGAGACGTATCAAGATGACGTCGTAGTGCACGCTGCTAATAAATCTACCCATGATATGCGTCTGTTGTCATCACTGAAGCGAATTTCTGAGTTCAATGTAGTTATCCATCTTGATAATTGCACTTTTGGTGTCCCATCATTTTCATGCTTTGGCTACATTGTGGATGGCAGCGGTTTTAAACCTGATAGAAAACGTCTATCCCCTTTAGTAAATGCGCCATCACCAACCAATCTACAAGAACTGTGTTCAGTGCCAGGAACACTTCCGTATTACTCTCGTTTTATTCCTAATTTTGCTAAACATGCAGGTTGCCTGTTTGACCTCAGGTCAGTTAATCAATTTTCTTGGTACTCCAACCATGAAAGGACGTTGCGTGCACTGCTTGGTTATCTTCAAACTTCAGCTGTGTTGAAACCATTTTCTGCCAAATCTCATTCAAACGTCATTACTGATGCCTCTCCCACTGGAATAGTAGCAATCCTACAACAGTGTGGCAGGCCGGTGATCTGCATCTCCCGTCGAATTTCAAAAGCCAAACGCAGATATTCTCAGACTCATCGAGAAGCACTTGCATTATGCTGAGCTGTCAAACGGCTCCATAAGTATTTTTTTCGATCAAACTTACCCATCGCCACTGACCACGAGGCTTTAAAGTTCTTGCACGATTCATCAAAATCTCTGACGATGTTATCTATCGCTATGACGCAACGGTGGATTACTGCATTGAGTTCGTACTACATGGTTGTTCCTCGTGGTCAAGAATTCCATCATGGGACCCTGATTCAAACAATTCAGATTGTCTGTTGATTCAACCATTACCAGTCAAGCGGGATGCGCTTGTTGCTGATACTAAAAGATATTTTGCTCATATTTTCTGCACTGCGACGTGGCTGGACGCAGCAAGAACGACGCCGATTTCCTGCTTTTTTACTGTCCCGCGGAAGCTTGTTCGTTTCTCCGAATGTTTTGTTGTGTTTTGAGGATAGAGTTGTCATTCCGCCGACTCAGCGAGCGGCTGTTCTTGCAGATTGGGACTCTGGTCATCTGGGTGTTGACTAAGTGAAATCCCTTGCACGCTGTTCGTGCTGGTGACCGTAATTGGAGCCGGACACCAAGTCTACTGCTAAAAATTGAGTGCACATAGGATTCGCAACATGTCTTCACAGAGGTATCTGTGGCCAGTTGCTTGTGAAGCATTTCAACGAACTCATGCGGACAACTTTGGTCTTTTTCTCGGGAAATGGTATGCTTTGATTGTTATGGACGCACATTCACGATGGCTTGAAGTTTTCTAACTACGTCTTTAAGTGCCGAATTCACACTGCAAGCATTCAGGAAAGTATTCAGCCATGGAGGTGTACCAACTGTTTTGGTCACTGGCAACGGCACACACTTCACCGCAAAATTCCTTGGGGAATGGTTAAAAGGTCTTGGATGTCAAAATCTGTTTACTGCTGCACGACATCCCCAGTCGAATGGACTTGCTGAAAATTTTGTCCGAACACTTAAGTCTGCCATTATTTCACTCTCTCCTACTACTTTTGTGGAATTGGACCGTGGGATTGATAATTTTCTAATGCAATACGGGAATGCCGTTCATTCTGTTACTGCGAAGAGTCCCGCGCTTCTATTTAAATCTCTCTCGTTGCGTAAAAGTGCCAAAAAGTCTGACGTTACTTTTTTCAAGGGTAATGATTTATGACTTGCTACAGGAATATTACGTTTATCAAATGGCAAACTTACGATCACAATTCTTGATTTAGATGATCTCTCTTGTCACCGGAGAAACATTGACCAGGTTGAGTTCAATAACAGAAGTCAGTCTGTTAATGGCACGTCTGCTATTTCAAACACTAATGAGTGCTTTGTAAGTGATCTTATGGCATCCTACCAAAGTATTAAATTTCAAGAACACCCAAACTGCGAAAAATCTGAAGTTTTCATTCCAAGAAGATCCAAAATATTGGGAGCAAGACCAGTGCTGAAGTATAAGCATCTACAAGCCCATTCAGGTTGTGGCGGAGATATGCACAACTATCCAGTTAGAAAATGCGGGGTTTTCAGATACCTGCGTGCGACATCTTTCCGCTCGGCAGGAGTACACTTGAAGCGAATGAAAGTTTTGAAAACTGAGGCCAGTGTGTGCATTGTTCCTTAGCTTGGTTGGTTATTGTAAGTGATAAGCCTACACCTAGTCGTGATTTAGGTTTTGCGGCCCCAGCTATGCATGATGGCCCAATCTATCAGCTAGCGACGTCCCTCCACACTCACAACTGTGCGCAGTGTCTTTTACCCTGTATACCCATCGTGAATGATGGGCCACTGCCTATATACGCCACCAATTATGGGGTTTGAACTATAAATAATAGCCTAATACAGTGACCGTCGAAGATCTTTCATAACCGAAATACTATGCGTTCTAGTTCATTTTGGCTGCTTGCCCCAACCGCTGTACCCGAACCATAGTGCACTCCTAATTATGAGGCCTGAGTTGTGTATAATAGCCTGATCCAGCGGCCAACGAGGGCTCTTTATCATCATGTCCATGTATGTTGTCCGTCCGCCATGCCTTCACGCCTGAAGTTATCAGGCATCATGTGAGACGTATGTGTTTGTTCATTTTATGCAGTGGTACAACCGTCACTGGAAAACACTTCGTTTCGTCTTCTAAAAACCAATTTCCTTCGGAGACAAACCTGGTTTGTTCTCGTTCATACCTCAGTAATTGTTCAGACCTCTTTCTGTTATATAGCAGACTCGCTGCTTGCTCAGTTGCTTCCATTATCAATGGATAAGGAGTCTTGTAAACACTAATGCGGCGATCTATAGATGAAAATGTTGGTAGCTCAGGTATCATAGGTGGTCGTTGGCTTGTTCGCTGAACTGGACAATTTGATTGCAAACGTGGTTGGCACAACCACCAACCCACCGCTACGCACTACTACGCTCCACACAAAGCGCACTGATGATGTCACCTTGATTGGTGATGAAACGTTTGCAATCAAATTGCCCAGCTCAGCGAACAAGCCAACGACCACTAATGCGGCGATATTGAGGTTTGGGGAACATACTGATTATTGGGGCAACAAACACAAGGTCAAAGGCCAGTGTATTCAAAGTCGCCTTAAGAATAAAATGTGCAGACTTGACCCTTAGCAT